ACATATAAAAATTGAATTTTTCAACATTTTCAATATGGTTTAGTTTATTTTTGTTCATCGTAAAGTTCCAGAGCTATTTTGATATCTGAAGAAAATTTACAAAATTTTTTCTGTGAACAATGTCTGGACAAATCAAATAAATAGTTGACTTGTAAGACCAAAGACATTGGAAGGTGGTGTACGTCACAGTTGCATGTGATAAATGCATACTGTCTTTTTATGCAGGTTTTTACTTCAGGGCTGTTAATTGGATGTAATAGGGAATTGGGAGATAATGAAAAATATCAAGGGTTGCTACAAACCCAGTTGTTAGTGTAGCAGCTCTTTGAGCTTAGGCTCATGTTATCTTTTTTCTTTCAGTGTATAATTTCTTCAGTTTTATGGCAAATATGAGTTTTGCTGTTGAACAGTAATAAGGAGAGTTTCTCCTGAGAGTGTTTCACCTTTATGCACATCTACTAACCTGGTTTGGTACAGCAAAATAAGCCAGACTGCAGCGACTGCTTGCCATTTAATGGAGCAGCTGCTTCTCAGGTTCAGATTATTAACTAGGTGCTTGACTGCAATTTGAAGTTTGGATATTCATAGAATCATAGAATGGTTTCGGTTGGAAAGGACCTTATAGATCATCTAGTACTTGGAGTTGGCTGATACCATCCTCCTTCCAAAACACAGGGGTTGCTTGTCTTTCCCTATTGCCTACCCTACTGTATTATTGCATAATTTATGGAGTAAAAGGTTAGTCATCCACTCTAGAATGACTTTCAGCTGTAACTTTGATGGTTTCCCACTAGGGTGGTAAATTCTTTACCAAGTTTCCATTCTTTCTTGAATAATGCTCAGAGTATTCTAACTACCAGATTCATGTCTCTACAACTGTATCTGCATGTATATTTGTGTACACTGTCATCCTAGGAGGTTAACATAACTCCAGAATGCTAGAGATTGTAGAGGTAAATAACTGAATGTTGCCTGTTCTTGTGTCTGCATTCCAATGGCACAAGTGTCCTCAAAGGTAAATTAAGCTGGCGTGCAAGATCTGATGTAGATAACGCAGAGAATATGTTAATACTGTTCTTTCTATCACTGGAATAATCACAGGCTGAAGGCAACTGATGAGAGATCGCATAAATGTATGTAAAGAGATGTCATTCAATTGCCTAACTTTCTCAAGTTCCAGTAATCTTGACATTTGTATCTTAATGTGTTCCTATGAAAATATTTTTAGAGAGATTTTCTCTCCTCCCTTCTCCATGTTTAAGAAGGGATTTTCTAGAAGTTCAGTAACTGTCTAACCCATTTACTACCTGACTGCCTTTTTCTAAGAAGGAAAAGATTAGCAATATGTGGAGTATTACCAAAACATGAAAAATATTTTTAAAATTATGTAACTTCCATCTGTAATAGTTATTTTGGGTGTTACTTTTGACTCCAGAAGCAGAATTTTCCAGCTGATATGGTCTTGGCTTTTTGATTTCAGGAAGTACATCAGAAAATGTATCTGCAAATCTGTGTGCTAAAGGGGAAAGGATTTCTACTTCAAAAGGAATGGAACAAGTCTGTTAGAAGTGAGCTTCGTGTTCCTAGCTTAGATGTGTATTTAAGTTGTTGCACATATACTTGGCTGGAGTTTGTGCTGTGTGTCTCATCTGATTCTGTGTGAGCAGCCCAAGCGAGCACACTGATGCCGCCTGTGCGCAGAGCAGCACCTGCATGGAAGTCATAAGTCTGAGGAGAACGTTTTACAAAACTGCTTTCAGAGATTTGGCTTCTCAACTGGTCAGATTACTCTTCAGAGCTCTAGGACTCATTGGAAACCTTTTATTTGTAAAAAAGACCATTTATTAAGAACATCTCTGTGGGTGGATTTGGAGGATTGGAACATCAGGAGCCTTCGGCCTTTCACACCAAAAATTTATTTCCCTTTGGGGGTCAGTTTTTCCTTCATATTCATTCATACCATAGCTACAGTGTTGAGATTTCCCTTAACTGCAGTTTAACTGAGAGAGGGAACTTGGTCCTTCTTTCAGTGGAATGAGACAAAGATCTCACATTGTGAGGGTGTAGTTGCGGTCAGAACAATAAGCTTTTGCTTTAAAAGTGTAACCAAGTGTATACTTGTTGAAAACAAGTTATTAACTTCTTTTTCTGTTAAGAGCCATTGGGAACTTGTCCAGCTTCCTGGGAAGGACTGGTGGGGTTTTTATTTTTTTTGTTAACTGGTAGAGGTTTCCCATCTTCCTTACCACATCCAGCTAGCCTGTTCTGGCCTGCTTTAGAAACTTGGGCCAGACTTGAAAAAACATCAGCTAGAGGCATTTATAAGCCTCCTCAGATCTTGGTGTAATTGCTAAGGTGAATCACCTTTGTCCATTCTAGTGTATGAATGGATTTCTTTCCTTTTCAATTCCAATGAAAGCAACGGCTATCAAGCCTTACAATTTGTTCCTAGTACATCAAATGGATGGCAGAAGAACCAAATTCCTATTCTGGTAAAAAAAAAAAAAAAAGTTTTTGGCTGTTGCAAATTAATCATAATTCTGATTATCTTATTTTTCACATAGACACTTTCCTGAATTATTGAGTGTTAGGAACAACACTGGTAGTAACAATGTGCAGTGAATAACATTACACATGCTAGATGATGTGAAAAATGTAGATTTGTTTGGTGTCAGCAGGGGTGGAGCAGCGTTTCTGGAATTCAAATATGTATTGGAAATAGAGAATCTGTCCTTTAAACTAGTACATAGAATCAAACTTCTGCCCAAACTAATAGCTGCTGGACATATTACAGAAAAATGTTCAGTCTTTGATAAAATTATTCTTAAGATAAATGGAAACTTTACACAGCTCTCTAGTGATATCTGTTGCTATGTGAGGCTCTGAGTTGGAGATCTAGCTGCTTGCTAAGAGCAAACAAAATAAAAGGAATCATTTAAGGTGTTCTCAGGAAAGGAAGTTACTGGCTGTATTCAGACTCTAAAATTAAATTCTGCTGCAGCACATAATCTTATTTTTGGCCTTGTAGGAAGTTGTATATCTTCTTTGGCCAAATTTCAACTCATACACATTTATCTCAGTGAAGTGATTTGTAATCCTTCTATAAAGGAGCAGATTAACCAAATATGGCATTACTATTATTTAAGTGATTGGAAAAAGCAGGAAATAAGATCTTTACTTTTATTGTGTATTTACCTATGGGAGACTTAAAATGCAAACCATCCTGTGAGCTTGTTTATATGGCACGAAGTTACTTTTGTTTTGTTAAACTAAATGGCCAAAATGGTGCCAGCAGTATGTCTGGAATGTTATTTACTTGGTCCATTTCTGCAGTTTTTCTTTGTATCACGGTACACATACCACAGTTAGGGGTCATTTACTTAAAACTGACCAAAGAAATACTCCCAAAGCTGTGGTTATTCTTCTCATCAGGGGCTTTATAACAAAAGGTTCATCATGTTCTGCAGCTTCTGTGTACACATTTTCCCCCCATCTCTCCCTCCCTCCGTTCTCTTAATCAGAACTGCTTTTGGTGAAGATTTGGAGAGCTGCTGTTTTTTCTTGCGGTGTTCTCTGTGATTTGATTCCTCTATAAGTGCTTTAATTCCGTACATTGTTTCTTACAATGCCAACTGATTGAAATGTATTAACTTGCTTTGCTGGATGACTATTATTTTTTTATAAGGAGATGGTTATTGGGTATGTTTTTCTGTTTAAATGTGTATCTCATTTTATGGTCTCAGTTCCAGACATTCAACTGGTTGTAAGAAAACTGTGGGTGTTTTAACATTTCCAACGGAAGGGTAGGGTGGGTGGGGAAGCTCTTTGGAATGCTGATGAATAATATTTGACTCCTGGAAATGTCTTAAGGCCATACGCTCCTGTCCCATGACTGGAAGGCCAGACTTAGTTTTAAAGGCCTGTGTTCTTGAAGGTATTACCATTGTGCTTTATTTCCTTTCTAACTCGCTGGAGTTGAGAAAACAGTTGGAATGAATATTATGGATGCCAAGGGTTAGTGCAGGAGTACTCTGCAGATAGTGGTCTTGGGTTGAGCCCTTGCAACTCCCATCTGTGTCTTGATGCCCTGTTAATCCCATGATGTTAGTCAGAGGGCTTCATTCTGCTATTTTTCTTTCCTAGGTACACTTAATTTCAGAAATTAACGTTTGAGATGTTAGCGTCTGTAATGTCTATAAGCATAACAGACATTGCCTTTCAGCAGAACATGAGTTGGGAACTGCAGTAACTTGCAATTCAGTGTGTTTTCAGTAGCAAAGCAATAATTCATAACAGTTTTTTCCCCCAATTTCTTCGTATACTACTTGAGTCCAAAGCAGAGTAGACAGAGATTGGGTTGTTCTCCCCCGCTGTGAAAGCAGTTATTTAGTGACTATCAAGTGTCCTTCCCACTTCTGTTCTTACAGATGTTCTCATTCCTCTGCATTTGCAGAAGTGATCAATTCTTATCATCAGATGGTATCTTTTTAGCTTGTTTTAAGATTTAGCAAGCTCATGTGCTTTACTTAGATGGGTCTTGTTGCTTTTGAATAGTGATTTGTTTTCTTTATAAAATGTTGCTGCTTTATATATTTCCAGCTTTAATCATGTAATGGATAAATATTTGCTGCCTGAATTCTAACCTGCTCATCTTTTATTGTGCTTGCTTACATACAAATGCTTCTATTGAAATAAATCAGTCTTGTAATTTGAAAAATATAAAACTTTGGTTTAAGTTACTTCTTATGTGTAATGGTTGCTTGATGGTTGAATACAAAACAACTGCTTGGCAGAATTGTAGTTTGATTCTCTGCCAAGAAACAATAAAGTACAACCTAATTCTTAAAAATGCCTGAGCTATCAGCTATCACTCATGACCTTGCATGCATGCATATAATAAGAGGCTGGCATGGTTGATAAAGCCTATAAATTATTGTGGCCATGTGACGCACGTTATAAGAGGACAGTAATATATTTTGTTACTTATCCCTATTGTGCAGCCCACACATCATCTTCCTGTCACAGAGTGTACTACCAGGAGGGAGCCATCTCTGTGGAACACGTCTGTGCCATGAAATTGCTCATGCTTGGTTTGGACTGGCCATTGGGGCTCGTGATTGGACTGAAGAGTGGTTAAGTGAAGGATTTGCCACTTTTTTAGAAGATATATTTTGGGCTAGGGCACAACAGGTAAGGTGATGATACATCACTTCTCAACTGATTTATGTGGAAATCAAAATCATATACCCTGCTGTGAATTAGGTATAAATGAAACCTCCTGTGTTATGAAGATAAGTATTTTAAAAAAGAAAAGTATTTTAAAAGAATAGGAATTTGCATGCTAATTTGATTTTTAAAAAATAATAATAATCCTTCTCAATCCACAATGAACACTAATCTTTACAGAGGTAGAGGTCAATACAAATGACAATGGAAACATCTGTTTTGTCAGTTATTACCTTCCCACAAATGTACCACTCAGTTATTAAAATTCAGCTATCAAACAGTTGCTCTGCATTCTTTCCACTTGTCTTGTGCTCCTGAAGCTGCAGCAATTAGCAAAGTCTTACAATATTCCTGTTATCTAATGAAAATAGTCTGGTTTTGTCCAGTGGATAGCCAAGAAGTCTACCGCGAAACTAAATGTAAACCGATGAAATGGGGCACCAGCGCTTCCACTTTTTTTTCTCCTATACAGCCTAGCAAGAATAACCCTCATGTCAGAGGCTTAGAAATCACTGTCTACCATAAGGTGAAAAGCTCATAAATTGCACGTCAGCTAGTAAAGTGGTTTTGTGATCCAATTCTTATTTTTTTCTTTACCTCTGTTACTTTGAGCATTTTGCGTGATAGTGATTTCTTCCTGTGCTTGTGTCAGCCCCTGGTTTTGCCTCTTAAGTCTGCAGAGCTCCATCTGTGGAAGAGCAGGTGGGACTGGGAACTGACATCATAACACTCTTCTGAGCCTCCATTTTATTAAGTACCAGGCATATTTATACCACCAAAAAACCGCAGAATTCCTTGTCACTTACCATGTTTCTGGAACAAGAAAGAGAGGAAGGCTGTCCAAACACTTTGCTTTTTCCTTCTGGTCCAAAAACTCATTTCTGCCCTTACATTGAGCATCACTCCTCTGCTATGAACCATTCATGTTAATTCTACACTTTTGTGAGTTCCTTGAAAGCATTTTCATTGTAGTAGACACCCTTCCATGTACCTGAATGAAAAGGAGTAACCAACAAAACAGGGTGCTTAGTCCCGTGTTAGTTAAAAAGTTCAGAAAATGGCTTCTCCCCCTTTTTTAGAATTATTGAATAGTTTTGATGATGTGCGATTGCACAATTGTAGGATTATGAGCATATTCCATAGTGCCTGGAAATAATTTTAGTTGTGACTGAAATATTGGTGTCATGCGGGATAATATTAGCTGCTTTTGCTTTTTCCCATCTCTTATCTTTTGTCATAATAGAGAAGCAAAAATTAGTTGTTATTTGTAAGCTGACATCCAGGCATTTATTTCGTCAGCATGCATCTCTGTTAATGTTATGTAAGTGGGGGAAAATACAACAGGGTGCTTTCCCAAGTGTGGCAGAAGCGGTAGGAAAGAGGAGTGAAGTCAGGACACAAAGCAACTCTGTTTTCAAGCTGGAAACAGTAAAAATGCAACCAAAACCAGTATGCCAGGTATCTGAACTGTACCTTCAGTTCACTTATTGCCAGTCATGATAAGGAAGACAACATACTCATCTCTCTCCTCAGGCAGAAATAGTTAACTGACTATTGATTTGGTGTGCACAGTGAAGCTTCTGTTTTGGTTAGTGCTGCTATTAACTCTTGTAGCAGCAACTGTTATTTTTTTGGTTTGGGGTTTTTTTTTCTTAGTATTGGTACTGTTTTGTGCATCTTCTGCACATTAAAGAGAAACAAGGCAAGTTTCTCCTTCTGAAAATTGTTATGGTCTATTGGGAAACAGTAATCAGTGATCTGTATTTTTTATATGCTGAGCAGCTGTCACATGATGAAGTAAAAGGGCAGCAGGAACTGAAAGCTTTGCTTCGCTGGCGCCGACTCAGAGATGAGGTGCAGAACTCTGAAGAAGAGCTGCAAGTTTTAAGGTAACGGTATGATAGTGTAATCTTTGCTTTTGCATGTTCCCCTTCTCCGGTTTTCCACCATTTTCTCCCTTCAAAGTATATGCATCCAAATCATCTGATTAAATTCACTGCATTTCCTTATTTCCTTCTAAAGAAAAAAGAGAAGTAAAATTAAATTGACTGGGTTATTCATCTTCTATAATGCAATTGTTTTTTTCTTTGTTACAAAGAGCTTTCAAAAACCATGGGATTTAGTTTGATATAAAATGTCTCTAAGCAGCTTACTAGAGCCTCTATTCAGGGGAAAAAAAAGAAAAGGACATTTCCTGAACAAAGTTCACTGTTTGAAGTCATAATAGATTCATTTTCTATGGCTGAAGACAAGCTCATACAGGAGTACGGCATCTAACTGCCAAGCTGAATGAAGCTTTAAAAAACAAAGGAAAAAGCATAATGAAGTATATAAATTGAAATTCTCTTTAGAAATTACTAACAATGCTATGTAATCAAGATTTTGGTCTTTAGGTGCTAGATGCTGAGCTCAAGGCTTCTTAAATAGCTAAAGATATTAGATCAAAAAAAGATTCTTGCTTTTCTAATGATTAATAATCTGGACTGTTCTGATTGATGTCTTGGGAATTTCCATTGTGTTTTATCTTGAGTGGCTGTCTGACATCTCCACTGCTTGTCTCCCAACAGTCTTTGACCAAGAAAACCAAGTTTATGAGTCCTAGCTCAGATTAGCCCTACACTTACCAAATCATGGAAGTACAGGGATAGAGTCCAAAAGATTATGGAGACCTTTCTCCTACCTTGAAATACATGCAGTGTACACAGACATCTTAGGCAAGTTTTTACTAACATCTTCTTAGAAACCTCCAATAATAAAGTATCCACAGCACCTAGCTAAGCTGATACAGTGTTAACAGTTAAAAATTGCTTCCTAATGCACAGTTTAAATATTGTTTATTTCAAACAATGTGGATTTTTTCTTTTCTTTCACCACGTGGAGGTGACGGACAAAATGATCTCCATCTTCTATATAATCAAGTTTTAGATGTTTTTGAAAGGCTGTTGCCATTTGATTCATTTTGAGGTCTTCCCTACTTTTTGTGCTTTCCTAGTAGGACTGAAAAGCCTTTCATATTTGGGCACTAGATACTGTTCACCAACATAGAAATTCCTGTTTATGGCCTCATGTCAAACACATCACCAACTGCTTAACTTTCATTTATCTATTTATTTCATGTTTATTGATTAATTGTATATTCTACATGTAAGCAAAGTCAGTGAAGTTGCACGTTTGCAAATGTGCAGTTTGATGACAGGTATAAATACAAATTCAAACCTTATCACTAGCTGCTTGTCATACAGCTGCTACCAACACAACTACTGATTGACAGATAACTCAGGTTTTCTTTGTTTTAAAATAAATTATTTTGGGGAACTTTGGTTCTTGTGTTATGAGGCTTATCTTGGATTTATGGTTTCCATTTGCAGCATTATGGAATCAAATTTGTCATCTTTTACACTAATTATGTACTTGTTACTTCTAATAAAATGTGTATGTCATATTTTTCTAAGGGCCAGAATATCCATTGCAGTTTGAAACTCAGGAAGGACTGATTTATCTTGAAATTGAAACTTAAGCTTTCCGTTGACTTCCACAGTTAATAGATATAAGTCTCTGTAATAAGTATGCTGCTTGGCTTTTGCATGGTGGTATTCTCAATGGTAATGCAAAAGAATGATAAATCATTTATTGTTTGAAAAATATGCCTCTAATATACACTTCAGGAGAGGAACATGATGCCAGCTTGTGATTCTGACAATCTCTTCCTTTCTGATGTCTATATTTTCCTGTGGTTGCATTTAAGGATTTTCCACTGGTTTCAGTCAGATATAAATATTCTCTACTGTTTTTGTGCCATGGACTTGAATAGGGAATAGGTTCTCTCTTTGCATGTTTACTTTTTTTTAAGATTTTCTTCTTCCTTCTGAAAGTATATCTGTGTGCTTTCCAGAGTTGGTGTATGAGGAAGAAAATCTCAGTCTTGGCATTGCACTGGATTTTCAGTCTGTACTGAGGATTGTGCTGATTCAGGCATGTGTTTCTATTCAAGGATAGCTGTTGCTTCTTACCAGTTACATCAGGAAGAAAAAAATCCACCAAGCATAAGCTTATTCTTCAGTTACCTTTTTGTTCCCTGCTGGATGATTCTATGATTTTCTGTGCTTTCTTCTGACAGCAGGAAAACCCTGCCCAAAACTTGTCTTCTGGTCCTATGAACTTTTTGATCCACCAAATGAAAACCTGTTCAGACTAGGTGAAAGCCACTCAGCAAGCTGAGCATCAGCATGATGTTTCTTCTTAATGTGGATATTTGATGTTATGTTACAGTAGCATCTCAAAAGCTGCCTGTGAAAAAAAGAAGTCAGGTATGAAAGAAATAGATGAGTGTCTTTTTAGCAAGCAGCAGCTCTGAAAAGCAGCACAGCAAATCTTAGTATTGAAGAAAGAATACATGGCACTGTAGTGCTTATACGGGATAAGACCTCAGACAAAATCCTGTGTATTTTCTCGCAGAGTTTGAAGCAAACTTGCAGGGATAAAAGCACCTGTGAAATATGTCTTTGCACTCATTCTGCTGGAAAGCATCAACACCATTGCTGTCCTGTCTCTCATGTTACAAAAGCAAAGAAGACTTTGTGGAATAAAGCTGATGTTGAGATTATTGCATGTCGTGGCCCTTGTGACTGAACTCCAGCTTGTGATTCTTCATTAAGACACACCAGCGTTGATATCCAACTCTAAATTTGTCTCTGAGTTACGCTTGAGTCAAGTCCATTTCTCCCACGAAGCAATGCTCTCTGACTGCTCTGTAGGTGTTTAAAGGGTTTTATTCTATCACACTGAGAATATCACGTGCCTTTCAGATGGTTTCTCATACTCTGCATAGGTTTTCATGACTACCTAGCACAGATGAAACTTGTCCTGGTTTCATCTGGGAAAGTGTTAATTTTTTTTCTAGTGATTGCTGTGAAAGGAATGTCAATAACACCTATTGGGTTTCATTGTTGCTAAGTGATGTGTACACTATCCAAAGACTTTTTTTTTAGCTTCCCATAGAAGAATAGACGGAACAATGGAATGGCCAGGGAAATATTCCATGCTAGATCTGTACTGTAGCTTGTACTCAAACTTCATTTTTCAAAGTGGGCTATTTATTATGAGAGAAATGAAGCAGTTTTGGCTTTTTATGTATGCAGAGAGCAATGAAAAGTTGCTTACAGAATGCCATCAGGCCTTCCTTCTAGGAGACTGATCCAGAATGGACATACATGAACCTTTGCTCTCCTACAGTGTATCTGCAATGATTACATTGTCCTGAAGAACTGGATTTACTATAGGATGAGAAATCAGTTATTGATCTCCTCGTTTCAGTGCTGAAGGAAGATCTTCCTTGAAAGAAAATATGAACTATAGTATGGTGAAGACCTGTGTTAGGAACAGTGTAAAACTGAATCTGCATTTTGTTTTTCTATTTTATTTCAAAATATTTTACTGTGAGAAGTGGATTTCATGTGTACAATTCCAAAATATAGTACCTACATAGCTTAGCACTCTGAACAAAACTCTAATAAGGACGGTTACACAGACACAAAGAAAAAAGGAAAAATGTTTTCCTCAAAGCAGACATAGATATGAATGAAATTGGATTACAAGAATTAGCTTGTGAGAAGTGCATGAGTGATGTGATTTGAAGAACCCTGCACTGTTGTGGCCTGAGTTGCCTGTGCTCTGTAGAAGTGGGGACAAAGATGGTTGGTTTCCAAGATTGCCCATTTCAAAATCCGCCCTTAGAATTGGAGAGATTGTTTTGAGCACAGGGTTAGGCTCCTAAGACAAACATTTATTCTCAGACCACTGTTAACTGGCATGTTTTCTGGATGGAACAAAAAAAGCTAGAGGGCTCTTCAGTAGTATGCGTGTGACAGTCCTGCTCACAAATAAAGAAAAAATGTTTGCACAGCTTCTCTTTAGTTTCACTCTGTGCTCATAAGAGCCTAGAAGTCCTCCACACTTTACTACTGTAGATTTGTGGCATACCAGATGCTGTATTACATTTTGAAATCAAGCAGTGAGGTAGGTTTGTTCTAGACATTATCTGTAAACCCCAAACCTGTGTGTGTGTGAAAAGCTTTCTCTTTTAAAACTTTTAACTACTTTTCTACCAACCCCAAAGAGCAAAATGAAAAATAGAACATTATTTTTTCTACAGTGTATTGCATACAGATGAAAGAAGTTATTCTTGCAAGTATAGCCATGTAAGCTGCTAAACCAATGTTCAGGTATAAGAAGAGAAATCTCTAGTTGAACATAATGACTGCAATATCCTTCCCTTTGCTTTCCCCTTCTTCCCCTTCTTACATTTCCCTTTCCCTACTCTTTCTTTCCTTCCCCTCCCCTTAAAATGACTTTTGGGGTTTGTTTTCCTTTGTTCACAATGTGTCTGCACTGTAGAATGGCATGCAAATGAGAAGAGTAGAACTTAGTGATGGCTTTCATTTGTACCCCAGCTGTCCAGTGAGCTATGTACAAAATCACATTAAAAGTATGAAATTAATTTGTTTGTCTGTCTAAACCAAGTTATTTACTTAGGGTAAAGAAAAGGACTGAAGTAGTCACAGGTGTCTAAAGTTACAATGCCATTCATGATGCTCTCAACTATGAAAATGTGCAATGTATGAGTTATTTTGCTTTTCAAGATTTAATAGTGTTTTTACCATTTTAGGCCCAAAAAGGAAAACACAGGAGAGTTGAGTGAGTCTGGAGCATCCGTTGTCAAACATGGTCTTAAAGCAGAAAAAATCTTCATGCAGGTTCACTATTTGAAGGTGAGTGTTGTTGGCTGATTTTTGTTGAAATTGCTTTGCTACTCTGATAAAAACTTCTCTTTTCTAGACAGCAGCAAATTCATAGCATCCTATTTGTTTCTGGCTTAATTTGTTGCAGGGTTATTTCCTTTTGCGGTCTCTAGCAAGGATAATAGGAGAGGCTCCATACCTTGCATCTTTGCGAAAGTTTGTCCATAAGTTCCACGGGCAGCTTGTCCTTTCTCAGGTACTGTACTTGGAGTTATTCCTCACTTCTGAAAAAACAAATGACCTAAACTTCTGGTTTAATGGATCACTGGACCAAGATCAATGGCATGAGTTTCAACAAGGGCAAGTGCCAGATCCTGCACTTGGGCCACAACAACCCCATGCAGCGCTACAGGCTGGGGGAAGTGTGGCTGGAGCTGCCTGGAGGAAAGAGACCTGGGGGTTCTAGTTGACAAGCGGCTGAATATGAGCCGGCGTGTGCCCAGGTGGCCAAGAAAGCCAATGGCATTCTGGCTCGTATCAAAAATAGTGTGACCAGCAGAAGTAGGGAGGTGATTATGCCCCTGTACTCGGCACTGGTGAGGCCACACCTCGAGTATTGTGTCCAGTTTTGGGCACCTCAATACAGGAGAGATATCGAGGTGCTGGAGCGAGTGCAGAGGAGGGCGACGAAACTAGTGAAGGGCCTAGAAGACAAATCATACAAAGAGCGGCTGAAGGAGCTGGGGCTGTTCAGTATGAGGAAGAGGAGGCTGAGGGGAGACCTCATCACTCTCTACAACTACTTGAAAGGACACTGTAGAGAGGTTGGTGCTGGTCTCTTCTCACAGGTAATTAACAATAGAACGAGAGGGAACGGCTTCAAGCTCCAACAGGGTAGGTTTAGATTGAACATTAGGAAGGAATTCTTCACAGAGAGAGTGGTCGGGCATTGGAACAGGCTGCCCAGGGAGGTGGTTGAGTCACCGTCCCTGGATGTGTTTAAGGGCCGTTTAGATGCGGTACTGAGGGACATGGTGTAGGGGAGGACTTTGTAGAGTAGGGTAGATGGTTGGACTCGATGATCCCAAGGGTCTCTTCCAACCTCAATGATTCTATGATTCTTCTAATGTTTAAATGCCTACTTCTGGTTGTGATGAAAAGAGAGAGGCAATTGTAACTTGGCAGTATTGGTGAAATATATACCTGTTAGAGGGCAGAACATTTTTTTCAGGGTGATACATAAATCACTGAACTCATCACGGTTAAAAACAGTCCTGGAACAAAAGGCACAACATGATGAACACTTGGCATGACTAGAAGAGCAGTGTGATGAGAGCGAGGAGCAGGAGAAGAGACACAAGGGGTGTGAGTGCATTTCTGAAACCAGTTTCTTTGCTGAAGTCTGTCTTTTCTGGAGTTATGGTTGAAATCTTTGAGGCAATTCAGGATGCTGATAAATGTCTCCTTGCAACCTGGAGTAAGGGCCTCTGATTTTGAGGGAATGGGGTCTAAAATTTTCCTGTTTCTTCCAGCCGCAGTGATTCTTTGCTCATGTGCTTGCTGCTACGAATCTCACTCTTGCAGGGTGAGATGTATGCATGGGTATCTTACAAATAGCTCACAGACCTGTGGATTCTTTCATATGTGAAGTCACACAGAAGACAGGCATAGTAGCTCTGCTGCAGCAGCTCTGCCCCGTGGAGGAAGGTTTGGGGTGTTAAAGGAGTTAAGGTTTCCAGTGCTGCAGCTGTTTCCTGTAGCGTGTTACTGGGACCCTGAGCAGTTATGTTTGGCATAGTGTGGAAAACGTCAGTGACTATATGAGCCTTGTCTACATTACGGGGTCCAAAATCATAAATATGAAGCTTCACTATTACACAGCTGGAAACTTTTACAAAATAACAGAAATCATGAAACTGCTAGAAAACAAGAAGCAGACCAGTGTTTTAATCTGGTGGTAAGAAAGGTGCTCACATTTTGGTGAGAAAAAGTTAGGTGATTGCTTCTGGTTATGTGAGATGAATTGTGGCAGTAGACTGTTTAAATGCCACAGAATGTCCTACTGCATGATAGTATTTGTCATGATAGCTAGATTGCATTGCAACTAAACTACCCATCTGCTAGAGACTTCTCTCTTTGTCCAGCAGTCTGCTATGAAATGTCAATTTGTAGATTATTTTAACTCCAGTCTCATAAGGTGAAACACTACACGCTATTTCTGCACCCAGAAACAACCATTTTGGTTATTGGATAAAAAATTGTTCAATGTTTTTAATTATTGAAGCAAGAGTAAATAATGCATTTATTTCGGGTTTCTTGGCCTACTTTTTATTTGAATATATGCACGATGTCCATAAGTATGTGCTTAATGTAGGTCAGAAAAAGACCTTTCTTCATTTGAAGATACTTGATGTGGTGGAGAAAGAGCTGGGTGCTATGTAATGTATATTGTGTGCTTTTTGTGCTTTTACGTTTGTTCACTGCAGCTTAAGTCCAGCTCCCACTGAAGTTGCTGGGAAGAGAATTTTAACATCATCCTGTTGTTTGGTCACTATGTTAAAAACAGAGGGGGGATATGGCTATATCCAGGTGTAAATGCATTTACTTTCTTTGAAAGAAATCTTAAAGATTGCATTTATGTTGGTGTCTGGTATAGGTAGATAATACAAGAATTGCAAATGGAGAGGCAATGAGGTCAAGTTAGTACAAAGTTTATTATTCAAGTTCCTTCTTCAACAAACATATTGTCAGTGTTTAAATGAATAAAAGATTTAAAATAAATAGAGTTGCAAATGGTAAGTTTAAATATCCTAGTGTTGTACTTTCACCTTGTCCAGCTTTAGGAATTGTGGGGATGAAGGAAAGTAAAAACAGTGAAAATAATTGCCCATGTTCTGAATACTAGTCTTGTTTTCAGTGGTGTTTGTAGTATTTTTCCTAGATGGGAACTGCAGGTGCAAGGAAATGACTTCAGATGTGAAACATTAATCAGTTTGCCTTTTTCCTTCATTTTGATTGCGTACTCAGTATGTTTTTAATAGTAGTTTTTGTTTATTTAGTTGAGTTAGCAACAGATGAGTAAAGCAAGTCTGGAATCTTTGAGAGGATTTAAAAAAAATCTTCCATTTTTCTTTCTGTGAGAGAATTAACTTACTAACTGCTTTGAATGAACTTTTAAAATAACGAATGGAGTGTTACTGAGTATAAATAAATAGAAAAGAGTACAATTTGCTAATATTCCTAACACAGTTAAAGCTGTTATTCAGTTTGATATTGAAACAAGAATACCTTGGGAATTGAATTGTTTGCAGACTTTAATTTTCATGTAGCTCTATCTGTTGTAATAATAACCCAAGGTCTGTACTGTTCGTCTATCTGATAGAGTTGTAATTTGCTATAGTAAAATGACAGTCAAGGAGGCAGCACTTCAAAAAAAATCATAATTTATGCTATTAGAAGTTTTAAAGGCAGGTGTATGAATCCAAGTCTACCGTGTATGTACCTATATCAACATGCTCCAGCACACAATTTGCATGGGCACATACCATTATCATCATTGTATAAAACTGATATCTGCACACACCGGTTGCCATTCTACTATTTATTAGCTTCTATAATTCTTGTAACTAGAATTGGAAGTCTAAGTGTGCATCTATTTTGATGTTTCAACATCTAGAATTTTTCTTCAGGTAAAAGTTTAACTAAAAATTTGTCTCCCTAGTTTGACCCCAGCTGTTCCTTGCTTACTGTCCTGTACCCTTGAGAGAACAACTGCTGACATCAGTGGGGCATGGTGTGGATTCTGGCGCTGTCACATCCACAGCAGGTTCTCAGATGGGGGTCTTTCCTTTCTACAGTCTTGAGCTCGGAAACAGAAATAGCTGGGTCAGTTTTACTCAGATTGAGTTTGTTTCCTGTTCCGGTACTTGCATGAATGAACATATTCCTACTTCTTCTTTTTTAGCTGTCTACCATGCTGCCTTCATTCACTTTCCTTATATGAATGCATTATGAGACAACCTTAAATTACTACGATCACAGTCCTTTGATTATTATTTTTTCTGAAGACCTTGGCCCATTTATATAGAATAGGTGTTGCTCTTGTATGAAGCAGCTGCTTGGTATTTTGTTCTCTGTTGATTGTTCCTACACACGTTATTTACTGTGCAGTATGCTTTTCTTTCTGTTCAACTATTTAGGTGTAAAACAATAAAAAAAGACGGCTTCACTAGGTCAGATATTTTAACCTGAGACTGATTTTGTGTAAAATCCTTATATATGTGACAATAGATTAATGTATGGATCAGTCAGTTACATTGCACATTTTGACAACCCACTGTATTCATACATAAAAATCTGACTGGCTTTAGAGCATATTTCTATTTCAGTACAAGTATCTTGGAAGAAAGAATGTATGAAATATTGTACTTGAAGTGTAAGTAAGACTAGGTTCATAGAAGTCATTAACGTGGTATAAGGCAAGGGGGTTTTCCTGGTGAGAAAATTTATTCCTTTTTTCTTATATACCTTTTTCATAATTATGTAAGATAAGCTATTTTAAAGGACAGAAAGATCAGAGTAAAGTAGGGCTAGAAATGGAACTGGAGAAGAAAGCTGGAGGGTATGAAGCTAAGAGGAGCCCAGATATTTTGTAATTGTGTATAATCCAGATGAGTGATTAAAAAGTCAGTTAATGTGTCACACATTTTAATGTCCAACAATATAGTTGTATAAAAAACCCAACTATCTTTTCATATCATTTATCTGAAGTATAAAGATATTAAAAGTAAGCAGCAAGTTTTTCCCATATAATTGACTTCTGTCAGGGAAGTGACCCATATATCTGAAAATGTCTTCGACCTTTCTGATAGCGTACACAAACCCTTCACATAGCTGCTGAACTTTCTAAGTCTTGAGCCTCAGTCTACAGCTGTGGAATATCTTTTTGCATTTCCCCTTCTGTTACAGTAGTCTCTTGCTCCTCTGCTGACCTTAAGTTTTTATATATGCTTAGCTTCCATTTAGCATTTTTCTAGCTTAAAATTACATGGTAGCTTGTTATGTTATATCATTTGAAAGGAAAAAAGATAAATTCTTTAATTCTGACCAGAGCAAACTGACAAGGGAGTACTCCCAACGCAGCTCCCAATCACAGCTCCAGCTTTTTTGTGATGTATTTTAAATAATCAGTCAAATGCATCTTACATGATTTTCTGCTGGATAGTCTTAAACAGGAGTCCAAAGAACAGTGGAGAA